TTTGTTTGTTTGTTTGTTTGTTTGTTTGTTTTCAGTCTTTATCTTTAAGGTTTTCTTGTTTCTCTCCTCAGTACATTTGTCAGTTGAGCACCTCCACATGCTCCACCCAAACCTGCAGAAATGATCTGTGTCACAGCTGCGTGGAAAATCTCATCATGTCTGCAGCTTCAAGTCTTCCACCTCTTCTCCTCAGAACCACCTGCAGAACTTTTCACCTCCACAGAAGAACTTACCTGATTGGTCGACCTTTCCAGGTGTGTTTGTTCATGCTGAATGCTCAGACACTGGATTTTGCTGCTTCCTGARATCATCTGTTGTATCAAAGACAATCATGGATGGAGACAAAACAGACGTTGTGTAGAGAGGAATCAGTTTGACACAAACAGTGGAGCTWTGAACAGGGCACACAACCCTAACCTGAAGTGGGCGGAGTTTCCCAGTAGAAAATGGAAAACAAACAACTGCACATGACCTGTTCAGCTTCAGACTGAGTATAATGAGTTGTTTAGTCAGCTTGACACACCCACTCTCACCTGTGTGCACAGGTTAATGACTCTACAGTCTGTATTACCTTGGTAACCCTGTAGGGGGGAGCACTACTAACCACTGTCTTGTTCAAYACCAACGAGAGAAAACGAGAGCTGAGATGTTTCTGCTCTCAGCTCAGGTGTGTCCTCTCACTTATTGAACTATTTTTATTTTTCATCTCCACATCATCAGAACAGTGTTGGTTTCTGTCAGCTCCTCCTTGGTTTGATCAGAAATACGTTGGTCTGCTTTGCTTTGTCAAACTTTTTTTTTCACCTAGTAGAGCTGGGTGATRAAACAATAATGACAWATATTGTTATAAACAYGATAGAAGTTGATCATTTCACTGARCTCTGATCCAGAACCGCACTGCATTCTGGGAGATGTAGGCAGAGRAAAGGCTGGCCGACCTCTCAGGGCCCAGCTRAGCAAAGCTTGCAGGCATCAACTGTTTGTCCAGTTAGAAACAAGCTRCTGAGCTTCATGTTTCACCTCAGAACTGCTTCAAAATAAAACACCACCAGGTGGAGTGAAAGGAGGAAACAGTGGATAAAAGAGGAAAAATCACAGTTTCTTCTGGTCTTTATTTCAAATAAACAAACCAAAAATGAATCAATAATTATCAGCATCAACTGATGTGAAACTCATAGTTGGTGAAACATTTTTCAGTCATGATGTCACTCAGACCTTTAGTTAGAAGCCATCTGCAGGGCAGAGTCCAAAAAACCCCTCTAAGATTTGTTGCATCATGTTGATCTTTCCATCAACATTTTAATGCTTTTTGTTCTCATCAATAATATTTGAAGGCAAAGCTGCTAACTTCTTGTATAAAAAGCAAAGTTTGTTTGTCTGAGAGCTCATCAAATTCATCTGTTTTAGTTTGCAACAAACAAAAGATCCCTCTGAAGCCTGACCCCTCTGTTCACTCTTTCCTTTGTTCCCAGATCAGCAGTGACCAGACTTCCAGCGTCTCTTCCATCACAGCTGATTTCAAAGCAGACGTTGGATGAATTTGGAAGAAAACCTAAATTAGATCAGAAAAGATGTTTTGCTGTCTGTCCCTAACGTCTTCATGTGGACAGAGATGAAAGACAAGCTTTCATGTTTCTGGACACTGCCACCTGAGATTACCTGCAAATCTAATAGAAACAATGCAATTTGATGTTTTTGTCAGATATAGACCTATTTTTATTACTTAAAACTGTTTTTTGTAACAATATGTGATTGTAAGTTTTGTTTAGGGCTGTTTTTTCTATTTTTATACCCGAGTTCATCTATAAGCCACCTATTTTTCACACTCCCACTATAGTTTCCTTTGGGCTTTCCTTTCAGTGACTTGTAATGTTTTCTGAACGATCTGTGCTGAGTTTCCGGAGCAGAACACTGAAAACAAAAGAGCAGCAGCAGGAACTTGTTGGTGTTTAACGGTGCCCAGATGTGGGGAACAGGGAGCGGTATGGTAATGACATGCTGATAAGAAAACGTGTGCATGTGTCCCCCAGGTAAAAAAAAAAAAAAAAAACAGGGGAACATGGAATCAAATCTGAGCCAACATCCTGAGATTGTTCCTGTTGATAAACTGATATCATTAAATATAAATGCAGAGCGTTTGGTTCTGTGTGCCGCAGGCTGGCAGCGTTCAACGGGAACGCTTTGAATCCACGGCTGCAAATTTCCTCCAAATCATCAAATCTGACAACAAAGGAAAACTCAAATAGACTGCTTCACACACACACACACACACACACACACACACACACACACACACACACACACACGTTCCCAAACTAATAGGTCTTTATACAATGTTCCTGGTGTCTGTAGCTCCATGCAGACCTGTGTCTGTATGATGAGTCCACATCAAACAGGGACTCATTTCAATATTCACAGAAGGTGATRGAAGACGGTCAGACTGACTCTTCTTCTTCCTCCAGGTTCCTCTTCCTCTCTCCAGGTGTATTAATAATTCCCCCTGTCTATCCTCCACACAGAGATGGAGGCTTTTCCCTTCAGACAAAGTTTCTAGAAGTTTCTATAAATTAATAAGAGTGTGTTCTCTGTGAAGCCGGCGGCTTTGAACCCAGCGTATTGATCTTGCAGGTGAGTCGGCTGTGCCGGATCACGACTTCAAACAGAATCCAGTGTTCCTGCAGAGAGGCCGGCCCAGCCAGGTACAATAACACCTGCCTCAGCCCGTCCATGTGACCAGTCCACTCTGAGGGTTCAGGACGGTCCACTCTGAGGGGTCAGGACGGTCCACTCTGAGGGGTCAGTACAGTCCACTCTGAGGGGTCAGGATGGTCCACTCTGAGGGGTCAGGATGGTCCAATGTGAGGGGTCAGGACGGTCCACTCTGAGGGGTCAGGATGGTCCACTCTGAGGTGTCAGGACGGTCTGAATGATTGGTAGAGGAGACAAGGAGCAACAGATGAGGTGAAGACATCTGATGAAGATGTTGAATTAATCCCTGAAAAGCCTCTGAAGTCAGCAGCTGATGCTGAGGCTGAACACTGGTCAGTTAATGGTTGGAACACATCTGTTCAGAAC